ACCAAGTGTTAAATTATCAACTCCAGACAGATTTGGTGTTTAACACTAAATCAGAGTTAACGTACCAACTCTCCAAAAAGAGTTAAATTAACACTCTCTGGTGTGGACCCATATAGACACTTTAAAAGTGTTGAAATCAAATCTGACAGTGTTAATTTGGACATGCTGGATTTGCTGTGTACAAGGCCACCTGGGTTGGCTGGAAGACTGTTTACTTAGCCTGGCGGGGCGAAGGACACTGTCTCAGCTGAACTCTGGACACGCACACACATACATATACTGATACTGATAAGCACTCACTGACGCATCACCCTCCCTATCCAACGCCACCTCCAACGCTTACCTCCCCCATGATGTGGACATCGGGTCAGCTGGAGGCGCAGTCGAAAGATTGCAGCGGTCCCAGATCAGATGTAAACACTGGAACACTTTCCCATGTTGCTTGTCTGTGTTTATTGTGTTATGGTGTGTTGATACCTGTGCATTCCTGTATTATCCTTTTGTGTTGCACATTTCGATGTTTTTTTTCCTCGCTACCTAGCCTGACCTGTCTCCCCAATATGATGTTTGTATTGCATGTACGGTCGGCAAGGTCTGTCATCTCAGTTGTGGGCCAAAGACCGGCAACTGACAAATAAAGGCTATCTCATTTCATCATCTCATCATCATCTCTGTCTGCTGGACATCTCTTAAATGAATCATTAGACTCACCTGTGGTTGAATGCCTGTTAATTCGAATTTTCTAGTCTTAAGTGTGGCTCCTATAATTGGGGTGTACTCATTTTTGTGACATGGGCTTGAATGAATTTGTTAGGAAAATCACTTTTTTGTGTGTGCAAATTCACAAATCTTGTTTGCAATCAATGGCCCACATTTGTGGGAGTATTTTGTAGTATAGCATCTCATAGAAAATGTTGATTCTGAAAGGAAACCTAAGGTTTTCTGACCAATGTAGTGGGGTGTACTCATTTATCCTGAGCACTGTAACAGGATACTGGCGTAAATTTTCGATCATGTCACACTTCTGTTTAACCAGTTTTCCATCTGACGTTTATTTAGCTGTGTGAAAACTATAACTTTAATCTCAGCCAAACCAATTTACTCACAAACAAATAAAACACTGAAAAAAGCCAAACAATAACATTTTCAAGTTAAGGTCTAAGTGACCTATATTTATCATGTTTAACCTGAGTAGTCCAGGGTTTGTTGTTGGGGTAGATGGAGACTGTTTTTGAGGGGATAATGTTGTCAACACAGAAGGAGATGTATGATGTCACTGTGTTGACTTGTTTGTCGATGTCATCAGAGGGAGAAAGAAGGCTGTCCTAGTCAGTGGCTTTGAAACATCCTTGTAGGGTGAGGATACTTTCCTCTGTCCACTGCTTGATGTTTTTGGTGACCTTTTTAATCTTCTTGATGACTGGGGTGTAAGCAGGGGCCAGCAGGATGGTGTGGTGGTCTGCTGAGCCGAGAGGGGGGAGGGGTAGGGCTTTAAATGCATCTGGTACAGAGCCATAGCATTTATGTTCGGGGCATACGAACAGTATGCCCCCTATTTAACCGATAAGTATTTCAAGGCACAAGCTTTTGATGTGCCGATACAGTTTATCTGCCACAGATTAAAGCCTTATAAAGATTTAATTCTGCCATGTTAGGTCATTGATGTCTAATCGCCAGTTAGATTAATAATTAATTTCTGTACCAAAATAAATCGTGTTCAATTCTTTCAAATGACGTCTCTTTATTGAAATATTGTTAAGTAGTCAGTTTCTATGCCACAGTGATTCCACATATAAGGGTTGCTTGTACTTGATAACTCTCTGATAAGGCCGACAAGAGCCTTCTTCTTATTCAGCATGTGAAACGTTACTAGCCTAAGATAGCTTTCTTTAAGGGGTTGCAGGTTAAACATTGACTTGGGTGTGTCAGTGGTGTCATGGTGATGTCAGCAGTGCAGCATTCTGATACTCTTCTGGGAAACATTTGTGACAAGTGACTTTCAGCTGTGCGTGTGGAGAAAGAATGAGGCAGTAACTAATTCACATCGTAAGTACCAATAAACATAAGTATATAAGTACAGATGTAAAGATAGCTTCTTTAAATACATCACTGTGAGTTTATTAATTTTCAAATAATTTTCAGATGTGTGAAAACTGTTTAAGCCTGTTAATAGATGAAAGATTGCGTTTAGTTTATAAACCTGATAATTCAGTGTTAGAGTTATATTACCAATATAGCAATATCAAAGACGCAACAGTTACAGCCACCTCAGGTGAGCTCTGCACATTGATCTAATCTAAAGAGAAGGAAATGTCAGTTATCGCGCAGACAGCAGGATCTCTGTGGTTGTTTGTAAAACTGCATCTGAAAAAGAAAAATCCACTCAAGTGATTTGAAGTGAATTTACTTCTGGAAAAATTTTCTGTTTTAATTTTTTTTTTCTGTTTTAATTTTTTTTTTTCAGATTTCACTGATGTGATTTAATTAATCAGCTTTAGCAGATACAGTTCTGTTCTAGAGTACAGAGTCTAACGTCCAAAGAAAGATAATTTTTACTGCAGTTATAAGAGCAGCAATAATAATCAGGTAATAAAAACAACTCCTCCTCTTCACTCATCTTAAAAGCGTTGATCAATCTGGATTAAACTTACTATATAAGTTTACAAAGAACATTAATAAATGTTCTTATTATTAATTTATTTGGTGTTTATGAATCACCATATTTGTTTCTGTCTTTATGGCATTACTCTAGAAAGTTGTTTTTTTTAATCTTAAATAATTATACTAAATCTGTAAGGTGATTTCCAACATAATGAAGATATTTGTAAAAAATAAATAAGTAAATAAATCTGTAGAAAAATCCGTATCTACTGTAAAATCCTCGTAAAGACTGTATTTGTATTTATTTTTCAAAATTCTAAAGAGAGACATATTTAATGAGGCTCGTGTTGTTCATTTTGCTGTTCCTGCAAAGATTTTAAATATATATTTGTGTAATACTTCCTAGACTCTACACACTACAACAAGGTAATGCCATCCAGAGTAAGAATCTGGTTAGATACCATATTTCTAAGATTTTCAGAGCCGAGTACAATAACCTCAGTTTGAGCTGAATTAAGAAGCAGAAAGTTAGTGGCCATCCAGGTCTTTATGTCTTTAAGACATTCCTGCAGTTTAACT